TGTCTCCTGGTGAACTCACTACTTGTGGTGGTCTCTGTAGCGCCCTCCTCGCTCTCTGCTGCGGCGGCGTTCTCGACTGCGGCTGCGACTTCTGCGTCGCTCTCGGCTGCGGCTACGTTTACGGCTGCGACTCCTTTTCTTGTCTCGACTGCGACTGCGCTTTCTGTCGCGGCTGCGAGTGCGGCTGCGCTTCTTTCTATCAGACACAGAGCAGCCAATCAGAGCACAGCCTGACAGTGACGTGATTTCAGCTCCTCCCCTCCAAATACTCATTAATGGATCAGTCACTGCTAATAATTTAATCAATTACAAATACATTAACCGACAAAACAGAAGATGAGGGACCTGCATGTAAGAACATGTAATAAACTGGTTGTAGCGTCTGGTTGTTCCACCAGATGAAGTGTCTTATTGGTTAATATTATATCGGCCGGGGAGATGGTTACTTTGACTATGGGCCACAGTAAGGAAAAAACAGACAGGAGCCTAAAGACCTCCAGAAACTGGGGGTCAGAGGGTTAAACAGCAGACACGTGGACAGGTGTACCTCTTGTTGCGGTCCTCCTGTCCATTGGGGCTGGGGGCCTTGGTGTCCTCCTAAGCGGGTCGACAGAGAACAGCATGAGGAGGCAACATTCAGGTGTGGAGGGGAGCAGGGAGGGAGGGGGGCAGAGAGAATATAGCACAGTTTAATGAGTCACATTCAAACAGGCTGTGGGGGAGGGGGGTCACAGGTCAGTCTGGGTCGGTCCGAGTCAGTCAGTCCCAACCTGCAGCCTGGTTCTGTGTGGGATCTGAGGCTGCAGCCCGGTTCTGTGTGGGTTCTGAGGCTGGAGCCCGGTTCTGTGTGGGTTCTGAGGCTGCAGCCCGGTTCTGTGTGGGGGGCTCTGAGGCTGCAGCCCGGTTCTGTGTGGGGTCTGAGGCTGCAGTCCGGTTCTGTGAGGGGTCTGAGGCTGCAGCCCGGTTCTGTGTGGGGTCTGAGGCTGCAGCCCAGTTCTGTGTGGGTTCTGAGGCTGCAGCTGGAGCTCCGGCAGCAGACAGACACTCCACAGTCCAGCTCGTCTTCAGTGTGGATGCTGTGCTGGGACTCCTCTGAAGGGCCCTGAAGCAGACAGGAGGCTTAGTCACTCACTCAGCCCAAACCAGAGGACAGGTAAACCTCCACACTACACCTGAGACTGTCACCTGTGCAGGCAGCACACCTGGCAGTCTGACATGTTCCACCCCTCCATCCTCAGCTCACTCATGTGCCTCCTCCCAGCTGACTAGATCACCTCCTGCAGCCAGACATCAGTCAGCCTGCAGGATGAGTTCAGTCCTGACAGATGTTTCTACAGGTGTTTCTATGGATGTTTGACAGATGTTTCTACAGGTGTTTGACAGATGTTTCTACAAGTGTTTGACAGATGTTTCTACAGGTGTTTGACAGATGTTTCTACGGATGTTTCTACAGATGTCTGACAGATGTTTCTGTTTCTATGGAGGTTCCTACAGATAGTTCAGATGTTACTATAGGTGTAAAAAGGTCCATAATATTTAAAAATGTTTTTTAAAGATGTTAAAGTATCACACACAACACACTTGCATGTAGCAGGCAGCTCTTAGAGGCCCATTGCATCATGGGTAATGTAGGCATCATTTTAAACAGGAAAAAGACAACGTGGACTAAAAAGGTGAGGACACCTTTCAAGCCACCGTCGACGCCCTGACTGGACGGCTGCTCCTCTACCTGTGCTACGCTTGGAGGAGTGAGGCAGCTGATAGAAGGAAGGAAATGAGTGGACGGGCTGGAACATGTGACCACACCTGTGTGACATCACGCCTTTAAACTTCCTGCAGAGCTGCCACAAGGAAACATGAGCCCTCACTGTCTTCAGTGGAGGCAGAGAGCAGCTTTACTTTAACCTCAACACTGACACACCTGCAGCTCACCCACAGGTAAGCCCCGCCCACCCCACCTGCTCTGTCCTGACCTCAGTCTCAGGATCTGATCCTGTGAGTCTTCAGCACAGCACCATTCTGAGTCCTGGCTCGTCGTGCAGTCAGGATGCAGAATGGTGCTTATGTTAAGCTAACGGCTAACTGCGATCCTCCTGGAATGGCTATTTAGTTACTTCCTGCTCTCCTGCCTGACACTTCACCTCCCAGAGTCCTCTGCTGGTTCTCAGCGAGGGGTGGGTCCAAAACCAGGGGACAGTTCACAGTTACCAGGGGAACCACAGTCATGTTACCATGGGGACCACAGTACAGCAATGCATGATGGGGGCTGTTTACTACCTTCATGTTTGTGACAGATCACACTGGCATTCAGGGGAGTAGAGGTGAGAAATCGTTAGGCAAGTCTACAAAGAGAGATAGATGGGCATTTATTCATGACAGTCTGAGGACGCCATCATCATCATCATCATCATCATCATCATCATCATCATCATCATCAACATCATCAACATCATCAACATCATCATCATCATCATCAGCGTCGTCATGGTTGTCAGCCCGACTCTACTGCTCGCTGACGCCACCATCAGTCTGACACAGTGAGAAACATCTGTGACAGCTAATCAGCTGATTACTGCCAATATTCAGATAATAAATCAGATCAATAAGAGCTTGATGCTCATAAGTGACCTTTTAGGGTTTGCACTGCAACAGCACATCAACTGAACAATCAGAAGTGAACTGAAACTGATCCTGGATCATCGGTAAAAAACTAACTAACTAATGTCAGCTCCGCCTGGTTCTGCACCCGGCTGACGACGACGTCCATCCGGGTCGACACAGGTTCAGTTTCACTTGAACTAGGTTACTGTTCAGGATTCAGGAATGGTGTCAGACGTAACACCTGGCAGGTAGCGCTGCAGGTAACCATCTGTCAACTAATCCATCAGCTCTTTGGCCTCTACAAGACCAGGAAATGGTGAAAACGTGGATCAGTTTCCTCAAACTTCTGGTTTAGTCCAAAGACCTTCAGTTTACCATCAGGGGAAAGAAACCAGAAGATATTCACAGTGAAGAAGCTGAAATCAGTCACGGAGTTTAAATTAAACAAATGATTAACACAGACTGTGTTAACCCTGCAGGGCCAGATGATCAACACAGTGAACTGCTGATAGGCCTCTGTTAAACATCTGGTGTCTGAAACACCAAAAGGTTCCAGAGTCTTGAAAAAAAAATAAAGGTAAAAAGGATTTTTATTGATTTTTTTTAACCAAAATTCCAAAAGTATTTAGTTTACAATGAAAAAAGACAGAAAGCTGCAAAAAAATTGACTTTAACTTATTGATCATACAAACAGCTGCTGATCAGGATGCGTGGCACGAACGAGAGCCTGACGCCTGGTTTCTCTGATATGCAATGATACGGGTCTGATGAGACCAACTGGGATCTGGAGGACTGGATCTGCACAGAAAGGTTTAAAGACGATAGAAACAGTGACTAAGAACCGCTCTCATGTCTTCAGTTTCCATCCATCCCTGCTACTGATCTGAACGACCGGTCAGCCAGTTGGTCAACCAGTTGGTCAACCAGTTGGTCAACCGGTTGTCCAGTCTGCAGCGTATTGATCCATTATTTAATATCTGACTGCAGCTTCTTTCTTTGCTCTTGAAGATCTTTGGACAAAACAAGACATGTAAGGAGACACTGATCCACAGGTTTCACCATTTCCAGTGTGGAACCTGAGCCCAGTGGTGCAGCTCAGGTTCTGCAGCTGGACGAGGAGCAGTAGAGTCCAGCTGAGAGGTTCAGAACTGCAGAGGACTCAGCGACTCTCACCTTCCTGTACGGAGCCTCCAGCATCGCCTCGATGTCCAGGTCATCAGCCATCCTGCTGCCCTGCACACAGAAACACTGTTGGTCACTGGTAAGTCTACACACCGTCTGAGAACATCTGAGAACATCTGAGAACGTCTGAGAACATCTGAGAACGTCTGAGAACATCTGGGACCTGCCCACAGTCCGACCAACAGCCTCCCATAAACCAAATCTGGCTGACGTCACATTTCTGTCAGTCCATCAGAGTACAACAAGACCAGAACTTCTGGATAATTTAGAGAAGTAACAGAAATGATGGACTTGAGCTATGTCCAGTCGCTGCTCAGCGGACCGACCTGCCAGGTGACCTGCTCGCTGCTCACCTGCCAGGTGAGCCGGCTGCAGCTCGGATGCTACATTAGCCGTTAGCCCTCCAGCTGAGCGCGGCTGCACCGGACAACTGCCGTCGCTGTGCCCGGTGTGTGTGTGAGCTCAGCCGGGTTGACTTCAGGTGAAAAACACCTGCGGACTCCGGAGCTAGCAGCAAGCGGCTAGCCGGTCCCAGCAGGCCTGTCCCGGGTCTTCTCCGGCTTCTAGCGGCCGTTTGTGGGGCCGAGCGCCGGCAGAGAGGCTCCTGACGCCGCGGAGTGGAGCTTACCTCGGTACACAGCGGCTCGGTGGGTCAGACCCAGCTGACGTCGCTCAGTTCGGTTAACGGCGGGTCCCGGTGCAGCCCGACGGTGCTGTTAATGGCGAACACAGGAAGCTCGTATTGTATCGCGAGATGTTGTTACCGCGAGATCAAAACACAGCAGATCCAGGAATAAAGTGTGTGTGTGTGTGTGTGTGTGTGTGTGATGTGCAGCCTGTCGTGGCTCCCACAGACGGTACCAACATAATATAAAACATGATGTGTTTATTAAAGTCGGTGGTTGAAGTTGTTCTTCACGCGGTTCTGGACTTTTAACTTCTTTCAAACTGAGTTTTATTTTTCTTCATGTTTCCCCCCCAGCAGCTACGAAGATCAGTAGGTATCAGGTATGTTGAGCTTAGAGTCAGAGTTCTCAGAGTCACGAAGGTGTCTCTCTTTTTACCTGCTAGGTCTCCATGGTAACTGATGCTGTGGAGCTAGGTCTCCATGGTAACTGATGCTGTGGGACTTGGTCTCCATGGTAACTGATGCTGTGGCGCTGACCCGGTCCAGGTTCTGTTCAGAGTTCCAGATGTAAACCAGCTGACAGAGCGTCTCCCTTTAACCAGACGGTTTCCTGACTGTTATTTATGAGCGATCCAGACTCTCAGCTGAGGGAATGTGTTTATCTGCTAACATGCTGAGCTGTGCGTCACTAATATCACTGAATGAAGCCGTGGAGCTACAGCATCACACTGTAAACATCACGTTGCCATGGGAACCAGACGTGTTTAGTTGGAGATGCAGAAATCCCATAAATATGTTTTAATGCTTGGTTCTGATCTGCTGTCAGGTCCGTTTCCTCTGCTGCTGCTGCAGCTGATAGAACCGATCAGAACATGGATCATTCTGCTGGTATTGATCACAGAGAACATTCAATCAGTAACATTCATTCACTCTGATTGGGCCAAAAGTTAAAGTGATTTCCTGCATTCTGGGACAGAGTCAGACCTGAATGAGCTTCAGCACCAGATCAGGTTTAAATGTATGAAGGTTAAAGTTTAGCTTTAATGTGCAGCTGTCAGCTGGAAACCAGCGGCTGCATCAGGAAACATTCTCTATGAACACGTTGAACAGTTTCTACCAGCATTCCTGTCTTCACCGTTTACAGTAGCGGCGCTTTTTACCATCATCATGTTGATGTTCCTCATTGTTCTCCATTAAAACAAGGTTCTGACTGAAGAAGCTGCACGTGATCGATTCATTCAGTGCAGAAGAAGAGTCACGTGACGCGTTAACACCTCCTTTAATGAGAACAGAGTCTGAAGCAGGAAGCTGAACCTCCTTCATGATGCCTGTGGTCTCTGCTGGAGCTTTGGTTCATGTGGAGCCGCTGCTCAGAGAAAGTCTGGATCTGTTGAACCTGCTTCGTAGGTCAGCCTTACTCTGGTGTTTATCTGGTTGTCATGTGAAGCACGTTGTGACGTTATTATCATCAGTATTGTTATTAAAACGTCATATTTTTAGTCGTAGCAGTATTTATACTACTGTTCTTAGTATTTTATTTTATTGTTCTCATAATATAATCAGCATTATTTTTAGTTGTAGTACTTTTATTCGTAGTACCATTTTGATAAGAGTCACTACTAAAACGTGAACTCCGATTACTTTGCTGTAAACGACCCACATGCTGACGTCACCTGTTTCTCTACAGTTGTGTTTAATCAGAGCAGTGAACCTGTAACATCATGAAATCCATTTTATTGGAGCTGTTTGGAACATTTCATTCACTGACGTTGCTCCTCAGCATCTGGCTCAGCTTCACTCCTTCACAGTGGAACTCAGACTGCCTCCTCTGGCCGATAGCTTCTGACAGTTCTGGTGATGTTTTGGGACAACGTGTGACTCACTGTGACGTTCATGGTTCCCAGAAGATGCTCCCCACAGACGAATGACATGAGCAGCTTCCAGAGCAACATGACTGGATGGTCCAGCAGTTTCCATGGTTACCTGTTACCTGGAGGGTCAGCTGACTGAAACCTGAACAGAAGCATCAGAAGTGAACTTGCTGGACCACATCTGTTCACGGTTCAGAACCAGAACCTGCAGTCCAACATCACAGATTACTGGTGGTCATGTTCTCCTTCAGCGTCCATGTTTGTCTTCTGCCTTCTGATTGGCTCAGTTGTGGCTGACATCACCAGCCTCCTTGTGACATCATCTCTTCAGGACTTCGTCAGCTTCTCCTGTCAGCCAATCAGATGTCATCCTGCTCTGTTCGCTCTCTGGAGGAAACCCACCTGCTGACAATCACTTCCTGTCGAGACACAAAACGTTATGAGCAACGTCAGACTGAGGGCAACCTTCATCCTGGACAGACGGAAAGAATCACCAGTCCTTGAGTGAATCGTTTGTGTCGAGTTTCCATCAAGAAAAATAACCAAATCTGAGCCTCACATCCTGATATTTCACCAACATCACTTTATTCAACATGTACAAAACCTCAGAGAGACTGAGAGGAACATCCATCCTACTGGATCAATGAATGGATGCAGCATGGATCAGAACCAGAGACCAGAGGAGTCATTTGGTGGAGACACATTCAGCTGATGGTGGAATATCTTTCTACATCTGATGGTGGAACATCTTTCTACAGCTGATGGTGGAACATCTTTCTACAGCTGATGGTGGAACATCTTTCTACTGATGGTGGAACATCTTTCTACAGCTGATGGTGGAACATCTTTCTACAGCTGATGGTGGAACATCTTTCTACATCTGATGGTGGAACATCTTTCTACAGCTGATGGTGGAACATCTTTCTACTGATGGTGGAACATCTTTCTTGGTTTTTACATTTTTGTAAAGTCGATGTAAAGACATAAAACAGTCCAATAATCAACACGTGAATCAAAACTATCAAAACAAGATGCTGAAACTGTTGGATCCTCCAGTGGAACCAGGAAGACTTGTGCTGTGACCATGAATAAGCAGCAGGAGGCGCTGAAGCTCCACTGCAGCTCCATCAAAGTCCATCTGAGTGGAGCTCCACAACCCAACTCTTCGGTTGTTGAGTCTTTTATGCTGGAAATGTTATTATCTTTTATTCACACGTGTCTTCTAGTCGTTGCTTTACGTGCTACTAGTTTATATCTGTGACTTGGACTTGCTGTTGTGTCCAGCCTGAGTCCTCTGAAGCAGCTTTCTCTCATTACACAGCACAAGTTCAGGCGTTTCTCTCTACTTTCTCTTTGAATGTTGTTTGTCCCTCATAAAAGAGAAATCCCCACATTTAAAGAACTAAGGACACATCGCTACAGACAGACACGCCCCCAACCTGCCCCGTCACTGATTCATCAGCACAGGAATCTGCTGCTGTCCACAACAAACATGGTTTCCTCCTGAAGTCACTGTTAAACGACAGATTCACGGCTCGTACCTGAACCTTCAGTCTGCTCAGGCACTCAGGTGAGTCCAGCTCCGCCTCTGATTGGTCGGCAGGGTAGATGATGTAACACAGCATCAGCTCCTGTGAAACAAGCACAGCTCGTCTTCAGAGGAACACCAACAGCAGAATGAAGAACCCCGTGTGTTGTTACCTTGGAGACGTTGGCGGTGATCCTGCTGAGAGCCGCCAGAGAGCGCCACGAAAACGGACGCAGCGCTGAGCCCCTGAACCCATCGTCAGCACGCTCAACTACCACCGAGTAACTACGGGAAGAGGGTGGGGACAGGTTCAGGAAATATCTGGTCAAGCTGAGGTGCGTCTTAGCATCCACACTGAGCGTTACCTGGCGTGGTAGAACGGTGGTCCTTTCCTGTACAGCACTGGAAAACACAGCAGAGTGTGACAACACGCTGATGCTAGACCCCGCCTCCAATTACTTTAGACTCCGCCGCCTGTAACTTCAGGTGTGTGAGTGTCTTACTGAGGTCAACGCCGTACTTGGCTCCGCCCCCTCCTTTGGGGACCCAGCCCCTGCTGCGGAAGTGATGATAGGCTGCGTACGAGCTGACAAAGTCGGCACGCAGCGACCGGAACTTCCTCCACAGCTGGACGACTGACAGGGGCTCCTGAACAATCACAGGACAGGACACCAATGAGGTCACAGCCTGCCACCAGATAACAGCGTCACATGATTAACGAGCAAGAGTTACCTGCTGCAGGTGGACAGACAGACAGCCCAAACCGTAGACCAGGAAGAAGGCCTGTGGGAGCAGACAGACGGACGGACAGACAGGTGAACAGGTGATCCAGTTCAAATGCTCACTTCCTGTCTTGTCTCCATGGCAACAGCAGCTAAGGCTCATGGGTACTGTAGTATTTAGAGACGCGTTACCTCCTCCAGACTGAGCTGCAGGTCCTCCGACAGCGACAGTGGAGTCCGTCGGACCTCCCTGGGCCGCACCGCAGCCTGCAGACACACACATGACTCAGACACACACACACACACACACACACAGACAACAACTTTGTCCAACACAAGGTCTCAGGTGAAGACTAACCTCATCGTCAGACACCACCAGGACAAAACCAGGACCTGGAACCAAGGAACCAGAACTAGAACCTGGACCAGGTTCAGAGTCAGAGAATGAATCAGGACCAGAACCTGGACCAGGTTCAGAGTCAGAGAACGAATCAGGACCAGAACCTGGGCTGGAGTCAGAGTCGAGGTCTGGATCCAACCTGAAACATTCACAGGAGACATCAGGTGTTTCTCCTGATTGATTGATGTTTGAACAAATCCTGAATGTGGGAGGTTCTAAGCAAAGAACTGAGTCCTGATTTCCAGAATCTGCTGCGTTCTCTCTGTTCATCAGAAACTCCTGAACATCTCCTGAACATGTGGGGACTCCAGGACGCACACGTCAGGAGAAAGTTAACTCGCAAGAGAGTTAGTGAAAGTTTCTACTGGTAAAGAAATTATGAAAATATTGGAATTATAGCTAAAAAATGGTCAGATGTGAGTTTCAGTGCTGAAGATCATTCCTACAGAGGTTCAACAGATTCTGAGGCGACTGACCTCCTCCAGTCCAACCAGGAGTCTGAAAGTCGACTATTATCAGAAGATACCTGTTGATGTAAAGGAGCTGAATCGAGCAGAACAGTCGACTCGGCAGCAAAAACCATCAGCTGGTATTTTCAGACTCAGGTTTTTAAAGCAGAGCCTATAATCGACAGATCTGTGAATAGGGTCTGGTCAACAACAAGCCGCTCTACCTGCAGCTTCTCTCGGCCTCCAGGTGAACCTCTGGCTCTGCCCTCTGCCTGCCTGAAGAGGCTCCGCCCTCTGGCCCTGCCTCCTCCTGTCCGTTCTCTACCTGATCCTCCCCCCTCACGTCCTCCATCTCCACTGGCTCAGACAGTTTGAGCAGGGTTTGATTGACAGTTTCCTCGTCCAATCCCTGAGCGGCGAGAGATGCCCCCGCCCACCTGAGCAGCTCCTCATACCTGTGACAGAGGGGGAGGGGGTAAGATGTGATGTCATCATGTAAGGGACAGTGATGTCATCATGTAAGGGACAGTGATGTCATCATGTAAGGGACAGTGATGTCATCATGTAAGGGACAGTGATGTCATCATGTAAGGAACAGTGATGTCACTGACCTGGACTGTGAGATCAGCGGCAGAAACACACCTTTGTGTTCTGTAACAGAAACAGAGACCAGCTGAGTGCGGTGAACAGAACCGATTGGATCACAAATGATGATGTCATTGTTCAGGCTAAAACTCACGTTCCCATTGGTCAGAGATGCCGTGGTCCGGTCGGGCTCTGGACAGAACGCCTTTACCAAAATAACCCTGAAAGAGCAACACAAGTTCAGCCTGAGAGACTAAACTCTGGGCGTCAATACTCAGACCT